TGATTGGAATGTCTGACTGCCTGACCAGATCATCCTCTTTTGAGCCAATGAAGGTTTTGCAGAAAGATGGTGTATGACTCTTGAAAGAGTCAGTCTTTATGAGGAAGAATTGATTCAGAATGTGAAAGATTGAGTAATTCCAAATGAGAATCAACAGAAGAAAAGGGCCTGGGATTTTGTTGGCTTAACTATAGTTGGTCACAGGTAAAATTTCCTATGAGTGAAGAGATATCACTGAGATTTTTTAAAATTCTACTTCACAGGCTTCTGTGTGATTTTTCTTTATTAATTTAGCTAGTCAATTAAAACTCTCTTTGGAACAGTTTGCTTCATTTCATCCAAAACAGAAAAGGGATTAAGACACAATAGGTATAGTGAGTGTGGAAGCCGATTTCACAGGACAGCAAGAGCTGGAATATCAGGAGGGTTTCATGGCAACTTCCAGTTATTGTTGTTTATATTTGAGAGATTGCTTATCTACCTAATTGGGGCAAGGTAAAATAAGATGGTAAAGAAAATGGAAAGAATAAAATATGACATAAATCAGAAGTCCAGGGTATGAGAAAGAAGGATACAAATAGTTGGAAAGAAAAAGGAAAAAAAATCAAAGGAAGCATTAGTGAAACTTCCTTTTTTTGGTAAGCAACACTACACTAGTGAAAGTCTAATATTTTTATTTTAAATTCTACTCTCAACACAACAGTTAGGAAGTGGCACATAATAGTAATAATAACAACACTGGAAATCAAAGGAGAAAGTTTGAAGAAGGGATTGCTCACAGGTGGCAAATACAGCAGTGTATTAAAAGCATGTTTTAGAGCAAGATGATCTGTTTCATCTCTGCTTGGTTAGATACTAGCTGTGTAAACTTAGAAAAATTATTCAACCTACTCGTGCCATAGATTCTTAATTTGTGAAAAGGAGATCATACTAGTAACCATTTTGTTGGGTTATTATTATAAGTAAATGGTATTTTGTGAGGATTAAATTATATAAATGATCAAAAATAGTTTAACAATATAAATAACATGGGGAATAAAATGTATCTTTTTGATTAAAAAGAGCAAGTGATTGAAGGTTGTCACTGTGATGAAATAGACTTTGTATTGGAGATACAGCTAAGGAAGAGATTTAATATTCAGAATTTATCATTCTTTTTTGAATCTAATATGTAGACTTATAGTGGAACTGAAATATATCATATGATATATATAAATATGTTTTTGCCTTTTTTTTTTTTTGATTTGAGCTCCAGGTCTGTGATCGAATTTTAGATTTTTGTATCTAGAAGATAACATATTTATGAGCTAGTTTCATTCCAACCTATATGGATGACAGTTCAGAATGGTGAAACATTTCTACCAAAGTCCCAATTGGTTGGTGGCATAGCTGAGGCCACAGCTCAGATAGTGCCTCACGCCTAGTCCCATCCTCTTCCCAGTGTATTATGCAAGTTTGAGACAGTCTGCCATCTTTATTTCCTTAGTGGTTCCATGGACATGTGATATATTAATAGTTTCAAAACAATTGCATCAACCTTCCCTAAATCCAGCATCTCTTATTCTACTTCTTAATATTGATTAATGGCATCTCTATTTTTTTCAGACAAAATGTCTCAAAATATTTTATGGACTTTTATTTGTCCCTCATCTAAACTATCACCTGGAATTCTCCATTTTATTTATTTATTTTAAACATATTTCTTCGCTATTCCGTTTTCACTGTCAAGGCCATGTTCTTGAATATGCATTGGTCTGTTGCAAAAGCTTTTCAGAGCAATTCCTGGTAGCTGTTTTCCTTCTCTCAATCCATCTTGCTGTCTTTTAAACTATATTTACTCAAAAAATTTATTATACTAAATACTGAATATATACTCCTAACCATCATGGAACTGAAGACGTATTGGTGAAGAATAATACAAAATATGTAATAAGAAATTTTATAGGTGTGTAATTGGGAAGCAATAAAATATAAGCATACTGCCCATTAACAGACTTCTCTGAAAAGATGAATCTTAAATTTTATCATATTTATTCTCCTGAAAACCTTGGTAAATATTAGAGACTTGGTAATATTATTGAATAATAAATAAATTCTTAGTATAGAACTAAACCATATCGAAAGTCTTTAGCTTGACTTTTGAACTTCTGAATCTTCAAGGTACAATCTACTTGTCCATGCGTATTTCTTAGATCTAAATGTACTAGATGACTTGATTTTTACAGTGACTTACATTCCTTATTTTAACTTTTAAATTGTTTAGCTTGTTCTTTCCAGATTTAGCTTCTTGAAAGCCTGAAGTTTTTTTTTTTTTGATTAAGCAGATCTAATGACAACACCTCCATGAATCTTTCCACCATCGCCCTAATTAAAGGTAATGTTTTCTGTGATATACACATGTGATAAGTATCTCCTGTCATTCTCATCCTGATTTGATTTTAGAGGTAGTTATTTGTGTCCATGTTTCATGATCCTCACATGGGTAGGATATTCTTGAAATAGAGGATATTTATGGTTTATATTTAATTCCTTCTTTAGCATAGTATTGTACACAGAGTGAACTTAAAGACACGTTCATTAACTTATTTAATTCTTGCATGTGTTTACGACCATTTTTTTCTTATGACCATTTTTTTCTTATTTTGTTATCTATGAGCTGCTTTTTTTCACTTTTCTTCAGTAATGATATTCAAATTTGAGCAGGAAAAAAAGGGAGGAAGAAAAAGAAACATTTGAAAACAAACTAGAAGGCATAAGTAGAAAAAAGCATTATAGGCAAGAGAGTGGAAGGAGGAATGAAATGTTTATGAAATATAAGTGGACATTTTCTGCTGAGTTAGAATGACGTTATGCAAGTGCTTGCTCTGCACAGTAGTGGTTTAACTGAAACACACGCTTACTGGAACCATGCAAAGAGGCAACATCATTCTAATATGCACAACATTAGTACAGCATTGTGCAAAGTCAAGACTAGCTAGACTTCTATTTCTCTTTTTTCATTTGATGATGAAAGGCTTCCAATTAAATTATAATCACTAATTTAGTGGTTTTGAGTTCCCAAAGAGGCCATAACAGTAGCCTGAGTACTTTATTTCTGGGGATCCAGGAAATAAAGTGTCATTAATCATCAGAAATGACCATAGTTTTCCAAGGAGGAAAACTATGATGTGCAAGAGCTTACAAGAGACTTTCATGTACAATGCTAAGTCAATAAATATAATATATTGGCCATAATGCCTAGACCTAATTACAAAACCGTTAAACATTTATCATTATTGTTGTTGTTACCTTTATGATTCCCAGTAGCATTAGCACCATTGCCTTATAAAGCCATGGCGAGTTTCACGTCAATGAAGCCTATCTGGCTTATCATCCTTGAGTACTTATTACCAGTTCTTTCTTAAGGCAATAATTTTAATACAATGTCAAATTTCACACTCAACTTGATAAAATAACCTCAATTCTTCTCCTCCCCCTCCCCTTTGTCTCCTCTCCCCTCCTTCTCCTTCTTCCTTCTTTCTTTCTTCTTTTTTCTTCTTCTCCTTCTTCCTCTCCTCCTTCTTCTTCTTCTTTTTCTTCTCTCTCTCTCTCTCTCTCTCTCTCTCTCTCTCTCTCTCTCTCCCCCCCGCCCTCACCCCCTCCACCTTTTTCTGTTCCTGGATTCAGAGGACACGGTAAAAGATGACAACCTCTTCAAACTATACCAACCTTAGAGACATCTGGTACACCATGATTGGAATCCCAGGACTGGAAGATGCACACACATGGATCTCCATCCCCATCTGTTCTATGTACATAGTTGCTGTCGTAGGCAATGCCCTCTTACTATTCCTGATCTTCACTGAACGTAGTCTTCATGAACCCATGTACCTTTTCCTCTCTATGTTGGCCCTGGCAGATATCTTTCTCTCCACAGTCACCACACCAAAGATGCTAGCAATCTTCTGGTTCCAAGATGGGGATATATCTTTTGGTAGCTGTGTGTCTCAAATGTTTTTCCTCCACTTTATCTTTGTGGCAGAGTCTGCCATATTGCTGGCTATGGCATTTGACCGCTATGTAGCCATCTGTTATCCACTAAGATATACTACCATTCTAACTCCCTCAGTCATTGGAAAAATGGGCATTGCATCTGTGGTTAGGAGTCTCTTCATCTGCTTTCCCTTAGTTTTTCTGGTTTATAGGCTTACTTACTGTGGGAAGAACATTATTCGTCACTCATACTGTGAACATATGGGTATTGCCAGACTAGCCTGTGATAGCATCAAAGTCAACATCTACTATGGGGTGATAGTGGCACTATTTTCCACATGCCTGGATGTGGTGCTTATCATTATTTCCTATGCCCTTATACTCTGTACTGTGTTTAGAATTCCTTCCCAAGATGCTCGACTCAAGGCTTTGGGTACTTGTGGCTCCCATGTCTGTGTTATCCTACTGTTCTATACCCCAGCCTTTTTTTCATTCTTTGCTCACAGGTTTGGGGGCCACAACATACCACTCCATGTACATATTCTTCTTGCTAATCTTTATGTTGTGGTACCACCTGCTGTCAACCCCATCATTTATGGAGTTAAGACCAAGCAAATTCAGAATAAGGTTATCCAGATCTTTTCTTTGAGCAAGAAATTTTGCTGATGTATACTAAACAGCTTAGTCTTCATTCCATGTAACTCCACTAACTGAAGAGTACCTAAAATTATGTTGGCTATCTTATATCATGCCAGCATTTGGAGAGCATAATAGCAATAAATGTTTGAGTAAATAAAATCATGTTAAAACCTTACTCTTTTTGCTAATTTTGTTCAGGACAGTATCAGAGGAAGAGCACCTTAGATTCTGTGTAATACTGAGTTTTGTTACAACAGTTAAAGTATAATTGATTGACTGTGATTATTTTTATGTAATTAATTAGGAAATATTAGTTTTAGACATTAGGATACAGTGTAGGTTGGAGACTAAGAGAGCAATCTGAAGTCAGTAATCGAATCAAATCGAAGTCAGACTGCCAGTAATCGAATTGTTGCTCCGGGGATCCTAAGTATAAAATCTCAAAAAAGTTATTGTATATATGTCTCCATGTTTTTTAATTGAGGAAGTATATATAAAACACTTATAATAATATCTGAAATGTAATATTCAATAAATGTTAGGAATCGTTTATAAATATAGTAATAAAATTTAGTTTACACATTTGCAGGGTCATATTGGCTTGAGAATTGATTTAAATGTACAATAGAAAAAAGCTTAACTTATGCCAAAAACATGTTAGCATTACTTTGTGAGGAGAAGTTACCAAAATTGGAACATATTACTGTAGGAAAAGAGTTCATTGAAACCAGTTTGAACATATACTTTTAATTTTTAATTCCATATATGTAGTGTGTGTGTGTGTGTGTATCTCCTTTTTTTGAATACTATTTTCTTTCTTTCACTAGAGTCCTAATGTCATAAGTGATTTTGGTGCCAGCCTGAACAAGGATAGGGAGGAAGGAGGTTGGGATGTGAAGGACACAAAAGAGGAGTACTGGAACCCACTTCAGCACAAGGTCGGAGAGACTGACACAGAAAGAAAAGGAAAGTAGGGAAGGTACACTCTTCAAAGGTCCCAGTTTCAGCTGCACATTCTCTGGCCCTCATTCAATGTCAGGGCATGAAAGGATAGAAACCCAATGTGTTTTCAGAGAGAAACTAAAAGCAGAGGGAGATTAATATCCTATTTTCTGTTTAAATATCTAAGGGAGATTTCCCAGCAAGATATTTTATGTCAGCGTTTGAGTAAAAATGACCATGTGGCATATTCGGTAAGAAAACTGTTTTCCTTCTCCTTCACAAGGCAACAAATGGATCAAGGAGTTCTTTACAGCACTGTGGGGAACACGAAAATCATGGTAAATGTTGACTAGTGAAGTTGTATAAGGAGTTGCATTGGCTAGAGAAAAATGATTCTGTAGTCAAGGGTCATAAAAAAATGTTCGCATCAGGGAAGTTAGAGAAAATGGATCAGGTTTCAGGCCTTATAGAGTAAACACCATCATAGTAGATGGGTCACTAAGCGGATCAGGAGAAAATGAGGCAACATTCAGCAGAGGGTGAAGAAAGGATAAAGTCTCAGACTCAGTGAGAAGGTTAAGATGATATTTATTCAACAAGGGTCAGCCAAATATTGCAGGCTTAGACCAGAGGCTCATCCAGTTCTCTCAACCAATTCCTCAGTGACATGTGGCTTCCCTTTTACTGTAGATGATAAGAGACTTGTATAGAGTTTGGAGCAAATGGCAGAGATCTATGGAGAAAAGCAGGAGTCTAGCAGAGAATATCAATTTCCAACTGAAAGAAAATTTATTGAAATAAATTAGGTTATACCACAAAGATATTTTTTAAACTCAAACTTTAATGGACTTTTAAGTGGAAGGTTGGTATTTCAGACAACCATTGACATAGTAATGTTGATGGAACAAGATAAACTAAAAAACAAAACAAAACAAAACTCACCACATCTGACTTTTTGAATATAAAGTACAATACCTATTCCACAAGATTTTGGTATATCATAATATTAGCTGACAGAAAAAAAAATGGTCTATTAAATAATGTTGCAACTGATTAATTTGAAACTCATATTTACATCAATACACAATTTAAAATTCTTAACTCCCACTATAACCACCACTGAAAAAAATAAATAGAATGAGGAAATAACTACAATGTAAAATGAAACAGTAATAGCAGTAGTAAAAGTACTGTGAAACCATATTACCCCACCACTTTTTCTAGTAATTTAAAATCTCATTACCTCAATTCTCACATCTGCAAAATTAAATGATTATGATTTACCTCATAGATTTGCTCTGAAGACTAATAGCAAGAATCATTGCTGAGTGCTTCCATGATGCCTGACCTATAATAGGCATCTCATGAATATAAACAAAACATTATTTTATGATTATTATTATTATCATTATTATTATTACTGCTTTATTATTATTATTATTATCATTATTATTATTACTGTGATAGTTGTATTTTAATAGTAAAGATATAAACACTAAAAATAAACTCTATTGATTTTGAAGAAATACTTTTATAATCATAAGTTGTGTATGCTATAACAGCTTTATTCAAAATCAAAACTATGGAACACTGAAATGCCAATCAAGTGATGAATAAAAAAATTGGTTGTTTATGATACAATGGAACAGGAATCAACAATAAAAATAAATCGCAGATACAAGTAACAACAAGAATGGATTTCAAAAACATTATTGCAAGTGAAAGACTCCAGACGTGAAAGATTACATTATTTATGATTTAATTTGCATGATCTACTCTTAAAGACAAACTATATGACAGAAATCTGATTAGTGGTTGCCAGACACAGGGTTATGGGGAAAGGGTGACCACAAAGATGTAAAAAGGTGCTTTTGGAGATGATAAAAATATTATATACTTGATTATGGTGATAATTACATTACTGTAAATATTTTTCAAGCTCATCAAACTGTGCATGTACATATAAACAGAGTGAATTACTATTTGTAATTATACCTCAAAAATAAACTTGCCTTAACTATATTAAGTAGGTTATGTAAATATCATTGTGGTAATAATATTTTGAGGAAACATATAGATATTAATAGAGTCCAAATGTGTGTACTATATTACTACCCATAATTTACTTTGGTGATTTTTCTACTTCTTTTTACATAAATGTTTTATAACGGTTGCATGACCATTTAATAGAGTGTATATTAAAACACACAGAAAGAAGCTAGGAAAGCTGTCATGTGATTTGAAACTGATACAAAAAAATCCAAATCCCATAGCCTACTACCTCCTAAAATTAGGACATATTATTAAACCTTTGTGTGTTTTAAACTTTCAATGCATATAATAAAAAATAATATCTACCACAGAATCTTGATGGGGAGGTAAATTATAAACAAATTTATATTACTTGGCCATAAAAACACATTATGCTCTTTCACTTTCTTTTTTTTAAAACTGGGGCCAAAGATTTAAATGAGATATGGATTCATAATAAACATTTTTAAGTGATTTCCAAGTGGTGGTTGCTATTGGTATTATTTGGATAAACAAACTAATCATAAAAGTTTCTTTCTTTCTACCCTGGCAATTACAGTTGTCTATATGCAGTTCAGTTACTATTCACAGGATAGAAGCAGGGAAAGAATGTTTGGCTAGTGGGCAAAGAGCATTCAAATTAGATTTTTGTCATTTATTTGTTCCACTACTTTTTAAATTATCCAAATAGTTCAGTATCCCTATGATGCTTACACCACTACATGACCATGTGGCTAAACTGGATAGTAGAGATGATAGCTAAACAATAAATAAGAATGTTACCTAGAGTAGTGAAATGGATTCAGACAATTGTTGATCCTTTAGTAATTATTTAAAGGATTTTAATCAGTAAAATTTACCTTTTCCATATTGGGTGGACCCCAAAACGGTCCTCATTCAAGTGGCTATAGTAAGATATAAATTTTAATAGATAATCTGTTTCATACATTAATAGGATTCTCAGTCTATTATATGTGTATTTTATGATTAATAAAATTGATCACAATATAATCCATGTCAATGTCACTAACATGATGGCTGTGGGAAAAATGGAAAGTACGACATGTAAAACATTATACAAATAGAAGCCAGTAAATTCATTTTTAATTATTTACTCACTCTTACCCTTCTGAGCTCCACTTGTTTGCTTTTAAATATTCACATTTGATCTCAACAATTTCATTTCTTTCAAGTAAAACAATCTCTGGACTCTCCTTCGTATTTGCTGGGTCTTGATGCTATAAATAATGGGATTCATCAAGGGTGGGAAAAGGATATAGATGTGGCCCATGAGGACATGAACCAATGGTGAGAGATGTTTCCCAAAGCGGTGCACCATGGTCAGACCAATGATGGGGATGTAGAAAATCGAAACAGCACAGATGTGAGATACACAGGTCTGCAAGGACTTGATTCTCTCCTCCTGTGATGCGATAGCTAAGACTGCACGCAAGATCATGACATAGGAGATGAGTATGAGTACTGCATCCAGCAACAGGTTGCTGATCACCAGGGCCAGCCCATAGATGCTGTTGAAGCGGATGTCTGAACAGGCCATTCGAATTAAGTCCTGGTGCAGGCAGAAAGAGTGAGAGAGGATGTGGGGACGGCAGTAATTTAAGAACTTTAGGCGAATGATGACTGGAGGTATGAGTAAAGTACTCCTGCATAAGATTGCCACCCCGATTTTCATGATTTTGTCATTAGTTAAGATGGAGGAGTAGCGTAGTGGGTGGCAGATGGCAACATAGCGGTCAAAAGCCATGGCAAGGAGGACGGAGGACTCCATGAAGGACAGACCGTGGATGAAATAGGACTGGGCAATGCAGGCATCCAGGCTGATCTCTTGAATGAACCCCCACAGAATCCCAAGCACTGTATACATCGTGGACAGCCCCATGCACAGGTCGGTGAGGGCCAGCATGGCCAGGAAGTGGAACATGGGCTGGTGCAGGCTCGACTCAGTCCGGATTACATGCAGCACCATGCAGTTTCCCAGGAAAACTATAATGTAGATGGAAGAAAAAGGAATGGAGAGCCAGAGATAGTCAACTTCTAGGCCAGGAAAACCAGTGAGAATAAATCTGGAACTATTTAAGTTTGAGATAAAGATAGCAGACATTAAGATAAAGTGGAATATTTCTAGAGAGATGTTGCAAATTAGATCAGTTTGTGATCCCCTAATTTCTAGTAATGTTTGCTTTTGAGAAGAAAATAAAGTATAATATAATACAATACAATTTCTTTTAGTGTTATAAACTCAGAAAAATAGAGACCTGATTCTCTATCCTTTAGGACAAAAACCTGTTGTCTAGACATAGATTTTCCAGTGCTAGTAACTAACAATACTTGGAGACTAGAGGGTTTTATTCAGAAACGATAATGTTAGTGGGCATATGGGGTTTGGACTGGAATTCTGGGAGTCTCTGTTCATTTCTAAAGGAAGATAATGTATGATCACAGATGTCTACTGCTACCATAGCTGGCAGCAGCCTCAAGAAAATATAAAAGGTATGAGTAACTTTTCTCTTGGGTACAGTTGTTCCTTTCACTACCCCCAAAGGGTCATAAGATCCCAAATGAAATGGACTGGTTAAAGTCATCTAACTTTATGGGACATAAAGTTTAAGTAAGAGAAACAATAAAGTGGAATCATAACATTTTTGTACATTTTACCTTATTTAGCCCCTCTCTAAATGATTTACTTTTGTACAATTATTTTAGTTTTGCTTTTTCTTTTCTATACTTCATATTATTATTCTCTATTTTCATGCATCTCTTTATCCTATAAGAGATTTCTTCCTTTTCTGACTCTCTCAATAATTTTATCTTTTATATCTTTCTATATAACGTAAATGGCATGCATTTTAAACTGGAAATTATTGAAATGGACTGGTTAAAGTCATAAACCCGATATATAACATAAATGGCATGCATTTTCAACTGGAAATTATTGAAATGGACTGGTTAAAGTCATAAACCCGATATTTGATCTTGGGTAATAGCTAAGAATGAAATGGCTAGATCATAAGGTAGATATTTATTTAACTTTCTAAAATATTGTCAACATGTCTTCCAAAGCAACTGTACTATTGATACTCTAACCAGTGTAAGTGATGTATGAGAATTAAAGTTCCTTCATATCTTGGCTAATATGAGGTATGATTAGATTTTTTATTTGTTTTATTTTGCTTTGCTATTTTAATAGGAGTGTAGTGATATATCATTGCGAATTTAATTAGTATTTCCCTTCTGACAAATACTTTTTTGTACTTTTTCATATGCTTATTTGTCATATATGTGTGTGTGTATGTGTATATATATATATATATGCATATATGTGTATGTATATACATATATATCTTGGTGAAGTGCTTATTCAAGTAATTTTCCCTTTTGTGATATTGTTTTATTCTTAATGAGTTTGGAAATCTCTTTATATATTTTAATTACAAAATCCTTAGCAGATTTATGATTTGCAAATTGGTATATTCATTTTGTAAACTGTCATTTCTTTCTCTTAACTGTGACCAAAAAAAAGCAAAAGTTTTATTTTTTTAATTTTGACATAGTTCAATTTTCTTATTTTTAAAGAATTGTGTATTTTCAGTATATCTACAAACTCATTGTCCAACCAAAGATCACAACATTGTTTTCTCCTAGAAGTTTTACATTTTACCTTTAGGTCTATGATCCATTTTAAGTTAATTTTTATATAAGGTGTCAAGATTATTTTTATCTTACAGCACAATTTTTTGAAAAGACTAACTTTTCTCAATTGAATTTTTTGAACTTTTGCTAAAAATTAGTTGAATATATTGATGTGATCTATCTGAGCTCTCTATTCTGTTCTATTAATTTATGTGTTTATCTTTTCACAAATGCCCCATTGCCTCAATTACTGTTTTTATAAAATGTCTTAAAATTCAGCAGAATGAGTTTTCCAAATTAGTTCTTCTTTATTAAATTTGCTTTGGCTACTATAGTTCCTTTTCCTTTACATATAAATATTAGAATATACTTGTCAATATGTGCATAAAGCTTGCTCAAATGTTGGTTGAGATTGTTTTTAATCTAAAAATCAAGTTGATGAGAATTGAAATGTCTTCTAACCCATGAAAATGGAACATTCCTGTTTATTTGTTATTCTTCAATTTTTCCATGGGTATTATGGAATTTTCCTTGTTCAGATTTTGACCAAGTTTTTTTCAGATTTAACTCTGAATAGATAAATTTTTTAATAAAATTATAATTGCATTAATTTTTTAAATTTCTAAATCATATTGTTAGATTTCTGTTTTCAGTTCCAACATGTAAAGACTTTAGAAATTATCATTCTCATTTTTATGCCATCAATTAAAACTAAACAAACTAAAAGTCATGACTTCACTTGAATCTGTCAGAGAATTAAAGTCACAAGGTGAACCACCATCCAGAAATACAGAGAGAAAGGTGAAGAAAGTGAATCTCAATCAACATCAGCTTGTCTGGAGCAGAGGCTGAGGAAGCCATAAATTGGGAGAAATACTTAGCCAGCATTTTTTATGAATTTCTGAGAGCTCAGGAACTATAAGCTCATGCTGGCACTTTATGAACTTTACCTCCAATAACTATCCCCCCCTGCAAAAAAATATTCTCACAGTGAAAAATCAAGAAAACAAAATCATCTGCTCTAGCAGATGGAGAATAAAGGTATCCACAATGTGCTGTCTATAATAAAAGTTTAATCTCTAGTAAAAAAGACTTTGACAGAACTTAGCTTAGAGGAGAGAAGATGAGTTATCAAGTTTGAGCCCCTCTATCCTTCCTGTCTCACCTAAAGGGGAGGAGGAAGTAAATAAGCACCAATGAATGTTGCAACCTAAAGACTCAGGCCCACTAAAAGTCTGAGATTTATCACACGATTATAGGAAGCGTTTGCTTCCTCCACATATTATTCTCTCTCCGTCAAGCAGCATTATCAATTAACTTTATCTAATTAATATTTATTGATGATCCATTTTAAAAACAGCACAAGAAACGTTCTCTTCAAGTTCTGAATATGGAACATTCTGAATATGGAACATTCAGTAAGATAGGGCACATTTTGAGTCATAAGGTATACCTTAATATAGTCAAAATAGTAGAAATCACCCAAAGTGACTATAATGAGATTAAACTAGAAAACCATTACTTGGGGAAGACATGGAAACAACCTGCACACTGGCGTGTGTGTGTGTGTGCGTGTGTGTGTGTTTGCATGCATGTGCATTTTAAAAGTTTTTAAAAGAAAGAAAGAGAGAGAGAGAGAGAGAGAAACTAGAAGGAGTTGGGGGGAGGAATCAGCAGTAGACCAGAATGTAATATCAAAGCCTGAATAAGTTGAGGAAAGTAGGAAAGCATCCAGGTGAAGGAGAAATCCAGGATGATATGTCAGATACTAAGCAGAATGAGGAGGGTTTCTGCTGTGGAAGGACAGCTTTCAACATGTGGAGTCAGAGCCCAAGTGGAAAGAACGGGGTGTTTCCAAGGAGGAGAGATGGAGTATCAGAATTTGAAAAGTTTAATAAGGCATAAACATGTATGGAGTGGCTTGGCATGGGGAGTCAGAGCCCAAGCAAGATGAGAATGACATTGCACATGCGGACTTTCTCAGAAATTGTAGGACTATCAGACCAGCACAGGGTGTAGAACCCAAGTGGGATGAGGGTTGACAGGGTAAGGGTGTCAAAGTCCATGTTAAATGGTTGCCCACACAAGAAAGGATTTAGTCAAGCAAAAAGAGATTAATCATATACAAGGAGAGTGATCAAATAAGTAAATATATTAAAATTACTGGGATCCAGTTTTCTCACTGTTGAAGACTAAAGTTACAAATATTACCAAAGGCAAAAAAACACTAGAACAAAACCTATGTGGTTTTTAAAAGTACAATCAATTGAATTGAAAGTATAGTCAATCCTCATTATTCACAGATTCCATACTTGCAAATTCATTTATCTGCTTCTTGGGAAAATGGATGATTACAGGTTCGGCTAATAAAAGTACATTGAATAGACTGTTGTACCAAAAAGCAAAGACATGCTAAAAGAATAATGAACATATTTCAAAAAGATAACAAAAGCAAGATTATGGTGCTCCCACTGGCCAAACCTGGAATGAATTGAATGATAGCGACAGCTAAATATATACTAAAACATTATAAAACAATGATAACTATAAGGTATTTCATAGTTTCAAAGTTTCTCTGACACAACACTTATTAAATTCCAAAGGAAAATATATAACTTCATATTGACAAATTCTAGCAGACCTCACCTTAATCAAATAATCACAGTGACCACCATCAGTAATGGGACAAATTCATACCACACACAACCTAAACAGATGTATGAGAAGAACAGAGCCTCACTCATGACATTTTGTACAATCCGAACTTAACCATGAGGAAGCATCAAAAAAACCCAAATGAGGAGATTCTATAAAACACTTGACCTATTATTTTCAAAAGTTTGTATCATACAAAACAAAAAATGTTTGAGAAGCTTTCAGAAAGAAAGAGACTAGAAAGAAGGACCACTAATGCACACACAGGACTCTGAACTGGATTTTTTTTCTCTATAAATTACCTTAATGGTACAACTGGAGAAACTTGTGTGGGTTCTAAAAATTCGATGGTAGTAATTTTATAACTTGGTTGTATTATCATTATATAGGAGAATGTCTTAGAAAATGTGCATTAAAGAATTTGAAAATAATGGGGCATCATTATTCTCAAATAGGAAACATTCTCAAATGATTCAGAAAAAAATTTTTTGTGCCATACTTGAAACTTTTCCATAAGAAAAGATTTACTGAAAGAATCTGAGGAAAAAAATAAAATATACACATGAGGAGAATATATTTTGAGTATTTCACAGATAATGCATAATTAACTATGTATAATTAATACATAATTAAATGTTTTAGCAATTTGTTATGTGTCGTATTTAGAAGATTTTTGCAAAATGTTTTTATATGTAGCTCTTTATATTATGTTTGAGATCATGGGGGTGGATGATTTGACCAAGTAAAAAAAAATAGTATGAGTATACTAAAAAAAACTTCAACAATATAACAAGATACAGTTGAATCACCAACAGT